TATTATAATGTAAAGTATGGGTATATTTATTATTGTCGACACTATTTTTAGGACACTTTTACTTTTAAATTAATTTAATTAAAAATTTAATGCAAATTATTATTGATTTTGTTTTAATAAAATAAGTTTATTTTCTTTTGAATGTTGATTTTGATATAATGATATTAAATATGTAATTATTTGCAAATATTATTTTATCAATACAAATATATTAACTTATATATGCATAATATACTGTAAAGTCAAACTACCTAGCAAAAATGTTTACTTTAAAAATACAACGCTTTTCTTAAATGATATAAGTTATATCAATAATATTTAAGTATTGTTAACTAAAAATTAAACTATTTGTAAATTACTATATTTAATATTGTAACTTTTAATCATTTAATTAAATAATTGCAATCATGTTTACGGTTTAATTGAATTTTAATGAAGTTTAAAAATAATTGATACGTGGATACGTCCCAATATTATATTCTTATGTTTAACCTAATTATATATTTATTATTAATTTATTTCAATTACAGTATGTTTTGTTGTTTTTTCAATATATTAATATTAAACAAAACAGTTTACAAACATAACTACAATAATTGTAGAATATTGTAGAAGGTACAATTGTAAGCATTGCGGGCTTACAATGAATGAACGGTAGGCCAAGTATTAACAAATAACGGTATTTTATTGATTAATATCGGTTTGGGTTTAATGATAGACGGGATTAACGGTGAGAGACGTTTCGATGGCGTGTCGACGCCATAGACGACGAAAACGCTCTGAAGGGAAACGGATAGCGATTGGGATGACTGCCAACGCCTGACAATCACGTGAGAGAGAGAGAGAGAGAGAAAGAGAGAGAGAAGCGGTCAGGAGTGCCATCTCCTGACACAATTATTGTACAAACTTGATCATGGTAGTTTCGTATCTATTAAAAGTATAGTAAATACAACAATATGTTCCAATTCTTAACTTGTAGAACATCTCAAAACCTGTTGCTTATAGAGAGACAATACAATAAACATTAATATAACATAATAAATTCAAATAGATAATATGTTTCTCAATTATTTCTCAATTATAAGTTATTGCTCTATGACATTTATATAGTTATTTGTTTTTAAAAAATAATGTTTAATATTGGAAATTATATTCAAACATAAAACTAGTAAAATATCTTATTTAGTAAAATAAAATACCGTGATGTAAAATACCGTGTTGTCCTTTACATTATAATGTCTATGTATTGTGCAAATTATGTATTGTTTAATTTTTTAATGCAATTTATATAACTACTTAAAACAAATGATACAGAGTGAAATAAAAATATAAATAAATATTAGAATAAAAATTATAATTTGTTTATATAGAAAAACGTTTAAATATATTCACTAGTAAATTAACATGGAAACATTTAACAACATTTTTATTAAAATAAATCTTTTAAAAATAATATTTACAAAGTTGATAAAATCAAGAATTTAACGAACATATGCTATAAAAACATACTCAACAATCATATCATTTTGTATTACGATTTTTGTGGCACATCTTTGAGCTCTTGATTTTTAGTTAAATACAAATAATTAATATTCATCTGATTTTTCTCCATTATTCGTTGTCTGAGTAAACGCTTGATCCGTCTCTTCTTCGCCTCGTTATACAGACAATAGATAGCAATCGAAGGGATAATAAATATCGTACACAATAGGAGTCCCTCTTTACGGGTCGTATAGTTTTTGATGCGAAACAATGAATACAACGAAAGGTAGCATTTGGTCGACTCCGAGTCCTCTTGAAAATTGCATTCACAAACACCTGGAATACAAAATTAAATGTAATTAATTATGCAATTTATTATTTTAATTATTTGTAATATAATTTATAAGAACATTTTATGATCATGTGTTTTTATAATGACTCATTTCAATTGCTTAAGATTGCTGTCGCTAATAGAAATATTATTTATCGTCATACAATTTATCATCACTACCTAAGCCTACGGCTTAGACCTTATTATTACATTTATTATTCATTATTTTTATTCAATATTAATTTACACGAATTAATGTAACTAGAACTATAAATCATAATAACATGCTTATAATAAAGCTAATAAATTATTAAATCACAATTAAAATCACATTAATAATAATATTATTATAAAACATAATTTACAGACTATTGAGCACATGGTTAAAGTTAACATACCTTCAATACACTCGCGATTCTCGTCGCCATTAGTCCAACAGTCGGAGTCTTTGGTGCAGTTAAAGGCCAGACAGGCCTGTGCTGTGGCGTCAAACCTATAGTTGGGTCGGCATTGGC